ACAGCCGACATGCTGATCCCGGGCTCGCACCGGGGCACAGCGGAGCCCGGGATCAGCGGGACAACGGCAGGGGGGGGGCGCGGGGGGGGGGGGGGCCTTCTTCGGGACGCAGAAGCGATCTGGCGACAGGTACGTCGTCAGTCCCGAAGGGGTTAAACATAATAGGCCAAATTAAAAAAGGCTAAATAGAGAAGTGTTAGGGCATCTTTACGTGCTGTCTGTTGAGCTGGGTATTCTCCACACCACTGCATATGTATGCAGTGAACAAAGCCCATATATAACAATTTGTTCTATATGCCCTGTTCACACCCTACATGCAAACAATGCAAAATTAGTAAACAAGAACTCTGCTCCACTCTGTCACCAAAGACTCAATTATTCCCCCACTGGGGAATTCAGTCATCCTTTCCTTTGTATCGTATAGAAAAAGTGAAGTCAGTCTGCACATCAAAGCCACCTCTAGCATTACTACGACTGTCATACATCCCTATTTTCTACAGAGGCCCGATGGAGATGACAGCTTAGCTGTCGACTGGACAAAAAGTCAGATTTTGCACATCAGTAACAGAGTAGTTAAGTTTTCATTTTTGGGGAAAGGAGAAGAGTGTCCAAAACAGCTGGAGCAGATACAAATATCACTATGTTTACATGTAGCGCTGCAACCAACTAATCGTTTAATCCATAATGAGAACAGTTGTCAACTCTTCTCATTATCGATTAGTTGGTTGGATCCCCTAGCTCAACAAGCAGTGGGCGGGTGTAATAGCCAACCTGTTATTGGCTATTGCCATTTGAAATGGCAAATGGCAGGCTGGCTATTACACCAACTCACTAATGCTATATTTACATTCAGCTGCCATCTGCGGAATCGTGCCAGTGTAAGCTGTCATTCCCTGGCTCTGCACGGGTGCAGTGCAGAACCTGGCCTTGGGGTAGCAGGGAGAGTAAATCCAGCCCTGCTCCTAGGTGTTTGAATACTTTATCACTATTACCACTACATTGCCTAGTCCAAGCAATGCTTTAATCAGGTGACTGTTCCCAAAAGCAACAAAATCGGTGATCTTTTTCAAAACAGATTACCATATTGTCGCTTGGTGCCCCACGGTTATGAGACTCAATTATCAGAAAAATAGGGCACTAAACCAAAAAAAAGAAGTAATTCTCACCTTCCCAACCAACCAACCCTACCCACTTCAAAAAATGCCATTGGCAACTCAATGCCTCTCTCTTAAAAACAGGAATCCACAAAATTTTGCTTAAACATACAGTTGTAAAATTATTTTAACCACTTCAAGACCAGGTGTTTACATCCCCTTCCTGGCCAGGCCATTTTTCAGTGTTCAGCGCTGCGGTACTTTGACTGACGTTTATTCCGTCATGCAACGCTGTACTGGAATTAATTTTATACCATTTTTTGGGGACAGATAGAGCTTTCTTTTGGTGGTATTTAATCACCACTGGGGGTTTTATTTTTTACTATATTAAGGAAAAATTTTACACATTTTTGGGAAAAAGTTTTTTTTTTTCATTATGTTGTTAGGAAACAATGATTACTGCCCAAATTTTTGGTAAAATATAAAAGACGGGGTCCAAATAGACACCAAACATGTCATGCTTTAAAATTGCGCGCACCAGCGAAAAACTACCATACCCAAAATTTACCATAGGCGACGCTTTAAAAACTTTTACAGCTCATCAGTTTAGTGTCATCAGTGATTGATAGCCCTAGAACTATTGCTCTCATTCCGACGTTCGCGACGATATGTAACATGTGCGGCGTAATGGGCGCAATCGTCGTTTTCGCACGTATGCGCACCCGACGCCTGTTTGCATGCGTGTATGTATGGGGTGGACTTTAAAAAAAAAAATAAAAAAAATTTAATTATTCTTTTATTTGTAACTTTACATTTTTTGGGGGGGGGGAACTTACATTTTTTTCCTATTTTATTTTCACTTAACTTTATTGCTATCACATAGGGGGGTTAGAAAAACCCCTTATGTGATAGAAAAATATGTGAATATCGGCCGGCTCTATAGCCGGCGGATCGCTTGTATATTAACGGGCATCGCTGCCTGTTTTGAAATAGCTGGCATTTCCAGCGCGCGCGAGGGGGCGTGGCTGAGCGGACGTCTAAAGACGCCCACTCAGATCTAGATAGCTACTGGTCGGCCGTTTTTTTACAACGGCCGGCCGGGAAGTTGTTAAGTTTAAAAATAAAGCACTGTACACCCATTTTCCACAATTTGGGAGGCTCCCAGGGAGGCCACTGTATATCTCGAGCCCAGGGGTGGGCAACTCTGGCCCTCCAGCTGTGTTTTAACTACAAATTCTAACATGCCTCTGGGAGCCATGCCTGTAACTGCCAGACTTGCAATGCCTCATGGGACTTTTGGTTCCACAACAGCTGTAGGACCAGAGTTGCCCACCATTGCTCTTCTTAAAACATGAATAGAAGTAAACTTGAACCCAAACATATAATACAAACATCAGATCCAGTCTTCAAAAAGATACTGAATAGCAGCTAGGGGTTAGTTTACCTTTTGACTCCTTACATGTGGTGGAATAGATTAAGGAGGCTGTAAAAGCCATGCAACTATTTCTACATGGTGAGGATCACCACCATGTCACATCTACTTTGTGCTCGAGTTTTAAACCCCAAGCAGCCCACATTAGAAATAATATTACTATAATAAAAGGTGTCCAGGTGAAAAAAATCTCTCTCTCTCTCTCTCATATTTTATTTTTTCGATTAATCGTCATTGGTCTATACACATACAGCACAGCAATGAAGTAATAAAATGAACTAGGATCACACTAATCCAGCACGTTATTAGTCTGAGTTGCCCCACTCACGCGGCCGCCATATTGAGTGTGGCACGTGAGATTAATAACGTGCTGGATTAGTGTGATCCTACTTCATTGTATTACTTCATTGCTGTGCTGTATGTGTATAGGCCAATGTAGTTGCATCTGTATGTGCGTTATAATTAAATCGAAATGAATCGATTTAAAAAAAATTTGATTAATCAAACACGAAAATGTTAATCATTACCAGCCCTTTATATTATATATATATATATATA